TCGTTAGAACCATCGTATCGAGCTCTATGCTGTGAATACTTTAAAACACTAAAATTATCAATAAACAAAATATATATTATCAGTAAATAATATAATATTATTGAAGGTCATAATAAATTTATGTTTTATAACAATAATTCTTACACACCAAAAACAATTAATACTAAGTGTGTTTGTTATCATCAAAACACTAATTAATTAAATTAATTAACAGAGATTAAGGGCCAAAAAGCCAAAACTAATTAATTCTAGGTACAAAACTAGATTTAGCATTCATACACACAACCTTAGGCATATTAAGCTTAGACACAATAAGACATACTTTAACAAAGATAATTTTAGAACTTGAAGGAGTAGAACATTCATCTATATAGCCTAAACCTCTTTTATCACCAAAAGGTTTGCCTACTTCAATTATTTTATCTAACCTTTGAGCACCTATTGTCAACTTCCTAATAGATTAATTTGCAATTTCAATCTCTTTACTAGCAAGCAATTCATTTTCTTCAAGCACATGCAAAAGATCATTTTTCTCACAATTATAACATTCAAGAAATTTAATTTTGTCAATAAAGGAAATTTTCTCTTTCTCCAAAGATGTATGGCTAGTTTCCAACATAACAATTTCACTTTTCAAACTAGCAATCTTATCATTTAGTTCCAATGAAAAAGATTTCATTTTCTCATTCTTATTTCTCAAATCATTCAAATCAATTTTTAATTCGCATGCTAGAGATTTGAGATCCTCATTTTCTTCTTCAACAAGATACTTTTATCGAGATAAAATTTGAAAAATAATTTTTGTAGAAGAGCGAAACTGAGCTCTGATACCAATTGTTGGATCGGTATGACAATCCTAGAGGGAGGTGAATATGGTTACATGAAGCTTTTTGAACTTTTTACTACGGTGAGCCTAATTTAAACAATTATGTAAATTTTTTATGAACAAATGATTTTAACACAAAATTAAATAACAAATTTGAAATACAAACACCCTAATTAATTTCACCAACCAAATAATTCAAATATAAATATTTGACCATAAACATGAATAACAAATTCAAACAATTAATTTCACGCAATTTGTAATAAAGAAAATTAATTGCAAAAATTAAATAGCGTAAGGTTAGAGAAAATGAGACCGGAAATTTTATAGTGGTTCGGCAACAATCGGCCTACTCCACTCCCCAAGCGCCTCTTGGGTATTCGATTAAGAAACTTTGACTCTTTCCACGGTAGGGTTCAAACCGGTATGAAGCTTTTTTTTCGGAAGCAAGAAGAAATCTGATCCTTTCCACGGTTCAAGATCAAACCGTTATAAATGCTATTTTTCGGGCTCAAGAGCAACCCTTACAAAGAATATGGAAATTTGAGAACAAACTTACAAACTCTCTCAAAGAGTAGATATACAAATTTTTACACACAAATTTGTAAGAAAAATTCTTACAAATAAAAGCCTTCAAATGGTTAAGAGAAATAAAATTGGAAGCACTAATATCTCTCAAATAAAAAAATTTCTCTCACAAGAAATTAGAATAACCTTTGAAATTTTGGAGAGATGAACAGGAAGGGATTGAAAAGAAAATTGGAGAGGAAAATTGTTGAAATTTTGAGAGAAGAAGAGTTGATTAAATAAGGGAAAAAAGATTGAAATTGATTTGAAACCAAAATCAATTTGGACCATTAGATTCAAATGATTAAAGATGAAATGTTGAGATTTAATGGAATAAAATAATAATAATAATAAAATATTATATATGGATGTCAAACGGCTATATATATATATAATATAATATAATATATATAATTTTTTTAAAAAACAAATATGCATTTAATGTGATATGACATATATATATATATATTTACTTTTTATTTTTTTTGTTTTTCTTTTAAGTTACCTTCAACGGTAACTTTGTTTTTTTCTCATTTTTTTCTTTTTTTTTAATATCATGCCACATGTCAACATTTCGTTGTACCACTTAGTGGATTCATCTCTTCTAACTTCTTTCGATCATAATTTCTTCGTTTGAGCTCCAATTTGGGTAATTCAAAATTCGTTGGAATCATCGTATTGAGCTCTACGCTGTGAACACTTTAAAACACTAAAATTATCAATAAATAAAATATATATTATCAGTAAATCATATAATACTATTGGAGCTCATAATAAATTTATGTTTTATAACAATAATTTTTATACACCAAAAACAATTAATACTAAGTGTGTTTGTTATCATCAAAACACTAAGTAATTAAATTAATTAACTGAGATTAAGGGCCAAAAAGCTAACAACTGCAACCTCCGGCTCCTCGTCTTCATCTTCTTGCCCTAAGTCTTCTTCCTCCTCCAAAACTTCTTCAGGCCGCCTTCTTCCTTGAGGTCTATCCATAGTTGAAGTCTTTGCTCCATCCTATCTAACCTCTCATTGATCATGGTCTCCACATTTTGCATGACTCTCTCAAGTAGTTGTTCTTGTGGTTCCATCCCTTCTACATCTCCACTAGTAGGTCTATCTCCTAAGTTTGACATTGCTGCAAAAGAGAAAACAATTAAAGAAAAGTGGACCTAACAATTCAGTCCCTCACGTGTTCACTTAATGGACGTGGTTCGCTCGTGTTTCCGCTCAAAAGGATGCTCTCTCACAAGGATACAATCTCTCTCAAGTATAGGGTGATGATCAAAGAGTTTGCAACCAAGAAGCTAATGAAGCAAATAAGTAACAATTCAAATAGGAATGATTACAAAGTGTCAAACTTAAGTAAGAAACAAGTAGAACCCACGAAATAAAAAACTAAGAATCAAGAACCTAATATTCAAGATCCAACAAACTAGAATAGAAAACAATGAAAATAAGATATATGGAATAAATAATCAAAGACTCAAAATCCAAAGAATTATGCAAGATGAACAAAACGAGCAAACAACTAGACAAGAATATTTAGGTAAAATTAACAAGGAAACAATGAAAAATTAGGATGCAATGAAACTCATAATTTCTCCCAAAATCCAAAATAAAAATGACAAGATATATCCTTCGTAACACTAGAAGTCAAAAAGTTGAATGATTCATAAAGTTTGATCTTGTAAATTGATTTGGAATATCAAAAATTTCAACTACTTAACTTCTCGTACTTGCTTCAGCTGCTTCATAATATTCATAAGTAAATCCATAAAAAACAGATCCTATAAAAAAAATTAACCTGCTTGCTTTAATTAATATTGAGCTGCTTGCTTCATTTAATATTAAGCTGCAAGTTTCGTTGAACTACTTGCTTCATTCCTTCTGATTTCCGTTTTTTTTCCAAACCTTCTCAACGAAGTCACTGATCTTCTTTTTCTTTTTTTCTTTTTT